CATGCATGCATGATCATTCATTTTTGAGCTTTGGCCATTTAAAGACTTATATTTTTCCAAGTGATAAATCATGGCATTCCTACTTTGAGCCTTCTTCAAGTTCCTCTTGTAAGTAGCCACGCTCTAAATTTGAGCCTTCTAACAGCTTCCATTAGTTGCTTTTGTAGCATTTGCACTGCCTTGGCATAGTTTCCCATTTTATCCCTTATAAACGTGAAAGATAGTTTGTAGTTAGTATACAGTTGGAAAGAACATAACACAGCAAGTCATCATAGAGTATCATATTTGTTTTCTCTTTTTGTTTCTTTTACTTTTTTCCAGTTAAGATATGAGGTAGAATACCTCTTCTTTTTAGTTGCTTCCCAAATGTGCCCTTAAGATTTGAAGCATCTCAAGTTATGTCAAATGATATAGGATTTCTGAAAGTTTATAGGTTTAATTACTTACTTGTAACTTGGAGGCTTTGAAGGCCATAAATAGATCCAATTTGAGCTAGGATGGGAATAGTGCTTGATGAAATCTCTCCAAAAGTGAACTTTGTTGTTTCTATGATTTATGCTGGTGCCATAGCTTACAGGGTCATGAACATCATCTGACAATAGCAGCATTTTCTCCTCAATGGGCAAGTTGAAGAACTCTGTTGTAGCCACTAGGGCATATTTCATGACTGAAGGAGGGATGCCATTGTTTATCACCTGGAAAAATATAAGTCTTTAAATGGCAAAAACTCAAAAATGAATGATCATGCGTGCATGTCTGTCTGTGGTATGTGAAAAAGATAGTGTGAAAGATATTGCCAAGGTACATACATACAAAAATTTGTTCTTATAGTAACATAAGGCAACAAAACCATCCTATTTTTGTTGATCTAAATGGATAGTGTATACCTACAGGTTTAGAAAAAGGTGGACACTGATAACTAACTTAGACCAAGCAAAACAAATTACTAGAAGTAGCAGCAGGTTCAATTTGTGTATTCATAGTCTAAAGAGAACATATATATAACAAAATCGAGATTGAAAGAGAGTGTACCATATGGGGTCTAACAAAGAATCTATGCAAAGTCTTCTTCCATCTACAACTGCCACAATCATGGGGTGTGAAAATTTGCAAACAGAAGCTGAAGGTGATTCCGGATGGGAACTTTCGTAAATATTAGAGGGGGTTGTTGCCCAATGTAACTGGATTCAACCACAGGCCTCATGCTTGTCCAGGCAAAATCATCGTACCTTGAATAAACAAACATGGTGGGCAATAAGTCTACTGAAATAACCCTTTCATAAGTGGTAAAAAGGTTGCAACTTGTTCATGGCATTTTTGGTTCGCACTTTTCTCTTATATGGTACCACTGCTGAACATGTCAATTCTCTCTTACTGAATAGGATGAAGATTACCCATTTTTTGTATGATTGTATCAAATATCTTGATTTTGCATTCCTTATTTGCAAACACCCTCCTATGGAGGAGAAAGGATTGTAGCTGAGCCAACCTGTGTGCCAGCAAGTTACACTCACGCTTTAGATGTTGGAAACATAGAGAAAAAAATGGAATTTCTAAGCTCGAAGTTCCTCCTCAATTGCTCCTAAAGGAAAATAACAATCATTGTTAGACATGGCTACTTGTATGACTTGAACACAATCTGATTCAATGATAAAATTGCCGTGTCCAAATTCTCCGCCCATCCCCAATGCAAAATCAATAGCCATAACCTCAGCTTGAAACTGATCCTTGAAACCTACAAGTTCTTTGCACTGCTCCTATTACTTTGCTGTCAATTTCCTAAGGACAACTCCAAACCTGGCTATGCCTTCCCCTTGTGGTATTGCTGCATCAGTATTGCTCTTAATGGAATCTCCTTGAGGAGGTTGCCATGATGCCATAGGTTGCACATTCCTTTCTCATCTGTAATCTGACATCCTTCCTCCCCAGTGCTTCTATATTCTGCAATGTATGCAAAGATCCCTTTTATATTCTAATCCCAAACATTGATCTTTAGTTATTGTAAAATGTCATGAACAAAGTGGATATGTCTCATAGAAGTAGTTCTCTTCTCGTGGCTGCCTGGCTTCCATTCTCAGCTCCTAAAAGATGCAGCTATAATCATCTTCTTAATTTCGAGATTTGGGATGTTTGTTTCTTAATAGAAAACAGCAAATGAAACAAACCACAGATATGTTGGGGACATAGTCATGAAGAAGACCCTCTGAACTGGAGGATTGATGTTGGATTCTAACTAATATGCCAGGTTTCCATAATTGAAAACTAGAAAACCCAAAACCCAAGAAGAAAGTCAAAACAATCTGTTGGATTCCAGAACGTATGCTCAAATTAAAACTTGCTCTTGCAGCACAAAAATCAGAAGATTTTCTGCTAAAAAAAAAATGGATAGAATCAGAAGCCTTAGATGGAAACTGGATACTTAACTAGCATCAATCTTAGGCTGACATAGCTCTCAAACTCCCTTGCATCAACTCCTTCCTAGCTCTTGCCATTTTTGGCCTTGGCATCAAGGTTCACCAGCCATCTCAGGACAGTATGATTTTTTGCATGGTTTAAATTAGACTCCATAATGAAGGGCTCCCAGTAGTACTCAATTGATGCATTATACTCCTAAAACACATTTCAAAAGCTCAGAATGGTGAGGTCAAGTGTCTAACACGGATACTTTAAATGTTTAATCAGTTACTCCTTAAATTTAAGCATTCAAATCATTTAACACATGTTAAATGTAGATTTATTAGGAATAAGTGAAGAATTCGAGTAACATAGCAAAGCAGGACAGGTAGAAAATTTATGGTACCTCAGCATTGAAGATCTTCATGGGAGTAATTCCATGAAAAGATTTTCCTTCTCCCCAGGAATCAGGGATTGCACCAAGCAAGACATTGCCTCAAATTGGTTCTCTGCACTGAATCTATGACCATCAATCTTTTGCTCCTCAAGATGTCCAACAGCTTCAGTGGATCATAACAAAGACACAAAAAGGACATTTCAAATGCCTTGAAACCATATGAAACCAAATCCACCCTTTACAACCCTTAGAAAAATGGACCCAATTTAAACAACCAAGATGACTGGGAATCATGTCCTTTTGTATAGCACACATAATACTTTGAAGTCTGCTACTCTAGGAAAACTCTTGAAGCCTGGAAAATTTCAGCATTCCAGAGTGCAGCTCACAATAATTTGCAATGCATCCTTGAACACTGTACACCTAAACCGAGCTATTGCCATCAAATTCTTGCTTAGCATCTGCAAGAAATTCAGAGAAGAAATTATCACATTATGGAATTCAAAAAGTTCCATTTATGATAGCAAAAGAATTCATCAACAATCATGAGTTTGTGTCTCCATTCTTGTGGCTTGTGAATGTGAACTTTAACTACATTCTTGGAGGAGAAAGATGTTCACCTCTTTGCAACATTTCATGACACCAAAAGATTGCAACTCTGCCACTTGAAGGAAACCTGAAAATGATACTAATTATATCAGAAACTTTATCTTGTACGAACCTTTTAGCTTAAGAACTTGAAAAGCATATATTATATTACTATTGTGGGTGAATAATATTAATTTTGAAGGGTCAAAGTACAAACAGAGATAGAAAATGAAGATAGCAAAATCGAAAGTTACTACTTGGAGTTTATCAGAGACCAGAGCCTGGATCTCTTCCTGTCAATTGCCCATCGATTGTGCTGAAATCTGCATTTCAAAAGGGCTCAATTTCAACGATACATACCCAAAAATCAATTTATCTATAATGAAATAAAGGTATAAAGCCTAATGAAAATAAAATAAAATTCTTAATCAAAAAGCTTACTACTTAGGATTTATAGAGCTGAGTTCTTTTCTGTTTTGGATTTCTAGACAGGAACTCCCTTTGCTGTTCACTTCAATCTACAGAAATTGTTTCCCTTTCAATAACTAAAACAATCAAGGATTGCAAATGATAGAAAAGTAAAAGAAATGAATTAAAAAAAACAAAACCTGCAAGAGTGGAAAAAGGCAGTGGAGTGTTGTCAAAGTGTTTTTCAGTGGTCAAGTCAACAAAGCAAATATGAAAGTTACATATTACAAGAATTTAAGATTTCAAATTGATAACAGATTGAGTATATGAAGCAATGAAGCACCAAAGAAACAAGAGTAGAAATCCCATTACATATCATGCTTAACATCTTACAACATATACAAATTACCAAAAGAAACAAAACCAAGTTCATCCAATACAATTAAAAAAAGACATAAATTGGTAAAAAAAAAAAGGGAAAATCTAACATTGTTGTCAATGAAATCAAAGACTACTGGCAATGGGTGAGTCCAGTCCCGTTTTCTTTTGCTTTGCTGTTCCGACTAGAGAAGTTGCCTTTGCATGAGAAAGATCCTACAAACAAATAGCAAAGCTTTAAAACATGTTGAGAAATTTGGAGCCAACAAGAGATCTAAGAAGTGATCTTATAGGAATTGATTCCATACTACCAACCTGGTTTGCAAGATGTTGAGAAATCTCAATATACCAAAAAAAAAAAAAAAAAATCAAATGCATAAAAGAAATATTAACGTTCCAACCACAAACATTAGCCAGTCTCATCACCCACGATTTTGTTACTACCCAAACCCAAAATCTAATTTCTACATAAATGGAATGGAATTATAAAACCAGAAAATAAAAATGATCAAAGTCAAAATATGGATACTTACATAGTTGGAGTTTATGAGATAGCACAGGAGAGCAGATGATGAAGGGTGGATGCATCTCAATCTCAATCTCATCTCCTCCGCACTACATAGGTTCCCACAGCATACACATTTTTGGCTTTGTTGATAGTTTGTTCCTGTTGTGGAGTACTGAAAGAAGGGGATTTATTGGCACGTGTTATTGGGCTCACACATGACTTATTTACATTTATCTGGAAATTTGAAGATTCGTCAACAACTCCGCTTTCAGATGAGATGACAGAAATTTTAAGCAACTCAACAGATCAAATTCAAATTAGAATAAATCAATCAACCCCTTACCCCCATTTATGAGGTGGACTAAATTCCAAGAAAGGTTGGAGTATGTTCTTAGCGTTAGGATGATCCCACTCCACCACTGATCCCCACCGTTCTTTTGACTCATCATCTATCTTGATTTCTCTGAGACAAGGAGGAGGAGATGGCTGGCCATTATCAAGGAGAGGAAGCTGTAAAGGGATCCTCTTTAACTTTGGACATTTAATTATTTCAATAACTTCAATAGAATCACAAACCATAACTTCTTTTGCACTGCAGATGCTCGTTAATTGGTTTAAACAAAACAATTTCAATTCCCTTAACTTGGGAAAAGTGAATTTATCAGATGATGCATCTGAATCTGTTGTTGCTATTATCTCCTCCAATTGTTCGCAGTTGTAAACACCAATCTCCTCTAAGTTTTGGAAGGCATGTAGTAGCTCAAGTGGAAACAACTTCCTCATTCCTGAACAACTGTTTATTCCAAGAATTTTAAGATTGGAAAAGATGTGCGATGGTGTTGCTACTCCTTCCACTCTCACAAGTACACTCAAGTTAGGTAAGTGCTGAAGCGTCAACTCTTCAAGCTTATCCAGTACTGAATAACACGATGAGAGGGAAGATGAGTCCAACTCAACCATGCACTCTATCCCTTTAAAATCATCAATATAACACCTTCTCAACTCAGTTGCATTTTCTAACAGAACTGTTTTGTTAAAGCTGCATCTCATGTTTTTCATGTTTTTACAATGTTTGATCCACAAATACTCAAGCTTATCTGGAAGCAATATGCATTCTTCTTCAATCTCACACTCAACAATTAAAACCTTACGTTGATATTCTTCACTAAATTTATATTCTGTGAAGTCTTGTTTATTTGTTGTCAGTTGAAGATCATAAGTCGTAAGACTTTCAAAATCCTTAGACTTATTGACAAGATAGTGGAAGTCTTGTATGCCCTCCATTCTACATGCCAAACTTTCCAACTTGCTCAATCTATCAACATTTTCTAAATTTATCCTTTTAGTAATTCCGCTACTTAGATATACAACCAAGTACTGGAGACTGAAAAGTTTAGGCAGTATTCCCGCTGGAATCTCTTTCAGATTTCGACAAAATAAATCAAGATATTCAAGACTCACCAACATCTCCAAGCCTTGAGGAACCACTTCAATCCCTGCCCTATGCAGATCCAACTTCTTCAATGCCCTAAGCTCCACTAAGGAAGGCAAGTACAATAACCGCCGGCAATCCCTCAACCGCAATGCAGAAAGATTCCCCAAATTAGAGATGGAATCAGGTAAAGCTTCAATACCAGTTTTAGAAAGATCAAGAACCTTAAGGCTAACCATATCTTCAAAAACGGAACTTGGAATCTCTGACAACTTAGGATTATATGACAATATCAGAGTTGACAGTAGTGGACACTTTGGAGACAAACCAACGGGAGTTTTTAAAATGTCATTCCCCATTAGAGATACCTTCTCAAGATCTCTTACCCACTTTCTCTCATTTGGTACCTCTATCAATTTCATACCAGCTTTTACCATATATCCAAATCCAGGACCAATGCAGTTGATAGCCATGTCTCTCACAACATCATGCATCTTAACTCTATCCCTAGGAAAGAAGTCAACACATTCCTCTAACAAGAAATTCTGTTGAAGACTATTTAAAATAGCATGGCCCCTATCATAAGCTGCTTGTCTACTTCCCAACTCATCAATCAGTCCTTCATCAATCCAATCTTCTATCAATTCCTTTCTAAAAAGCTCAAAATCTTCTCGAAACAAGGAGCAATATAGAAAACATTTTTGGATTTCCAAACTTTTTAGACGGTCAAAACTAAATTTTAACCGCAAAAATATCTCATCATCTGAACCTTTCACACTCTTAACACCTTCTTGTAACTCTGTTAGGGCATTTCTCCACACAATAATATCGTCCACTCCTTTCATGCTTCCTGCTATTACAACAATAGCGAGTGGCAAACCAGCACACTCATTCACAATAAGCTTCAAGATTTCTTCCAACCCAGAAATTTGTAAAACATCATGTCCAACCTTGTTGAGGAATAGAGTTAAAGACTCCTCTTGTGAAAGAGGCTGCACTTTAACAATCTTACAATCTAAATAACTGCAAACATCTGCTAATCTACTAGTGATAACTACTTTGCACCCATTTTTCATCCTTGGCTCTGGAATTCCAACATCCTTAAGAGAGAACTTTTCCCATACATCATCTAATATTAGCACAAACTTTACTCTTCTCATTTTATCCATTAGTGCTGCGGCTCTCATCATCACTTCTTCATCTTCTGGAAGTCTTTCGCCCATAGCACCAGCAATCTTCTTTTGTAATTCAAAAACATTGAGAGGATGTGACACAGTAACCCAGATCACTTTCTCAAATCTAGTCTCCCTCTGTAAATCATTGTAGAGATTCTTCATGATCGTAGTCTTTCCAACTCCACCAATCCCACAAACTCCAATCATTCCAACCTCATCACCCATCAAGTACTCCCAAATTACATCTTTAGTAGAAATTTCACCCACTAAATTCTCTGTTGGAATTATGAGTCCACGAGCTGGAGCTCTCTCAATCACAAGGCCTTCATTGAAAATGCCCCTCTCTTGAGTTCTCCTCACCACTTCAACTTTTGCACGCACAAGTTTATCAAGACTGGCACGTTTGAGGTATGGAACTCTGCGTGCCCTTTCTTCAACATCTTGTTTGTCTTTTTCGATCTTTCGAACATCGTTAAGCCAGCCCCTCACTTCTTGTTTGACCACTTGCCCCGAGTGAACCTCTGCTTGTATTCTTGATTTAACGTCAATTCTTCTCCTCTTTAAAACCTGAAATTCGCTTCTGAACTCATTCAGATCTTCTTCAAGTTTTCTGTGGCAGTCTACATAATTTCCAACTATCTTTAAGATTTCAAGAAATGCCTCCATCAATGAATTTCCTAAAATGTAATAGTTATGCTGTTAAAATTAATTTTTATATGGAATAAAAAATGTAAGAAACAAGGAGTTATGATGAACTGACAGATTTTTATCCACGTTGTTCGTTATACAGTAATTTTTACATTAAAAAATATTTATTTTAAAAAAAAGTATAAAAAATTTTAAAAAATCTCAAATATTATGAAGAAATAAATTTTTAATATATTATGTAAATAAATATAAATAAAAATTATGTGTAAATTGACTTCACTCAAAAACAATTTAAATAACAAGATACAAGATACCTGGCATCACTAATATATAAAACATGATTCATTTCTACTGTCCATATTAAAAAGGCAAAACCCAAACATAAAAAGAAAAAAAAAAGGGAAAAAGAAAAAGAAATAAAAAAACTAAGAAGAAGTACACGAGATGATTCATGCATGCAGTACGTCTATAACCTCATTAATATTTTCTTATAGTGCTTATGAAGCAAGTGGTTTAATGTTAATATTTTCTTCTTTAATTAAGTGAAGAAAAAAAAATTCTACATTTTAATTGTATTATGTTGGTGAAGTATATTAAACCGTAAACAAATTTGTGGTACATAAAGAGTAGGTATTAAAAACCATAAACATATGATTAAGAATATAGGGTTAACAACATGGTCAAGCATAAATCATAGAAGCAACAAAGTTCACTTTTGGAGAGATTTCATCAAGCACTATTCCCATCCTAGCTCAAATTGGATCTATTTATGGCCTTCAAAGCCTCCAAGTTACAAGTAAGTAAACTTATAAACTTTCAGAAATCCTATATCATTTGACATAACTTGAGATGCTTCAAATCTTAAGGGCACATTTGGGAAGCAACTAAAAAGAAGAGGTATTCTACCTCATATCTTAACTGGAAAAAAGTAAAAGAAACAAAAAGAGGAAACAAATATGATACTCTATGATGACCTGCTGTGTTATGTTCTTTCCAACTGTATACTAACTACAAACTATCTTTCACGTTTATAAGGGATAAAATGGGAAACTATGCCAGGGCAGTGCAAATGCTACAAAAGCAACTAATGGAAGCTGTTTTAGAAAGCTTAGGCTTAGAGCATGGCTACTTACAAGAGGAACTTGAAGAAGGCTCTCAAGTCATGGCCATTAACTGCCATCCAGCATGTCCTGAACCAGATCTAGTTTTAGGCGGACAACCTCACTATGACTATGGCACTCTAACCATCCTGCTCTAGAGTTGCCCAGGGCTACAGATCATGGACCTGAATGACAATTGGCTCTCTGTTCCAGTGATTGAAGGAGCTTTAGTGGTTCAACTGGGAAATCAAGTAGAAGTAATGAGTAATGGGTATTACAAGAGTGTAGTTCATCATATAACTCTTAGCACAGAGAACAAGCAGCATGCAATAGCAAGCATTCACAGCCTGGCTCTAAACAAGAAAATAGGGCCAGCAGAAGAACTGGTGGACGAACAACAACCTGTCTCCTATAAAGAGTTCAGTTTCGGTGACTTTCTTGATTTTATATCAAGTAATAATATTGGAGACATAAAGTTCGTCGACTCCCAGAAGAAGACCATGTGAAAGATAAAATAGCAGTGTCTACTCATGGTAATCTGCCAAACAATGATCTTAGTTTTAAGGTCTGGGGGTCTACCATTTATGGACAATCTCATAACTCCACTTATAATTCATGTGGCTATGTGAACAACAGTACAAGAATAAACTTTTCCAGTGTCTTTGTGTTGCTTAAAAAGCATGTATCTTCCAAGCTAAAGAACGAGCTAAAGTTAAACAATTCAAGAAACTACTTGCATCACATGTAGTAATTTCAAAAGTATGCCATGACATACAACATACATCTTGGTAAGATTGCAAGAGTTTAAAGCAACTGCATTAGAAGATCCTTTGAGTTATTATCTCATTATCGACTCAAAGATTAGTGGCATTACAATTTTTTATCAGTCCAAAAGAATTCAAATTTATGCATGTTACATTAAAAAAAAAATGGGGTTCCTTCCTTCATATCACAATATAACCAGATTAAGAATCAACCACGTAAAGCTAGCAATTTCTCTGTTAATCAGTCTTCATTAAGCTTACTCACTTGTTTAAGTCATAATTCTCCACAATTTCATAGAATTAATGATTCCTATTAATTATTAAAAGAAAAAAAAAAACTCAAAACATCCCAAAATGGCTCTGATCATCATATCAAGAACTCAATGTGATCCATAAATACTAAACATACGGTGCTATTGAACTTTCACCTCAAAATACCCATGATTTAATATGAAATCAGGAATCTAATTAAGCAACTTACTGAACTGTAGAACGGAGCGGAATCATGAAGCGTCTGCGTCTTACGCGCCGCCGTGTGTTCCGTTCCATGTCGTCGACTTCACCATTCCGTCTCACGGGTTACCGTTCAACGGAGAGCACTTTAAAAAGAGCGATGAGTAGAGTTTGATCGAACGGCTAATTTCCAGTTAATCACGCTGGAGATCAAATCAGAAGGTGCGTATCTTCCACGACAGGCATTGCTATGAAGTTTATTCTGCCACGTGTCATATGTTGATTTACAATGTGTCGCGCCTTCGAAAATACTGAAGATGTGTATGTACCTTTAGAAAAGACCAAAAAAAAAAAAAAAAAGAAAGAAAAAGGAAAAATATAAACCCTTAATTTGGTACTTTAACTATAAAAAAGAAAATTATGATATTTTTATATTAAAAATGTAAAAATATTTTAATAATATTTACATGATAAATTTAATAAAATTAAAATTTATATTATATCTTATATATTTAATGATTACGATTAGATATTCTAATATTTAAAATATCAAAATATTTAAAATTTTTCTTTTCTCATCAACTGTTATAAAGATTTTTAAATTCGTTCATAAACTTAAAAAAATTGTTGATTTAGTTTCTAATAATTCTAAATTTGTCTCTAAATTAGTTCTTTCGTTGAAACATAATTAATATAATTTTATTATTATTAACATGATACATGACAATCACATAATAGTTTTTCTATAGTCAAAAAATAGATACGTCAGCTTTTTTAATAGGAGGATTA